AATAGATATACAGCCATTTTCTAGTAGTTCAATGAGAAGTTTTGAACTAATAGTGTTTAGACAAGAGATCATGTCTGCATTTTGTACTATGAATAACTACTACGAAAACAACAATATGCAATGTGTTAATTATTGTAACTGCCCTACTAACCTGTTTTGAAACTGTCTCATTGCTACTTCTTTCTTAATAAAATTAATATAAAATAAAATTCTTTGATGGAAAGTAAAAACCTCCTCAATGAAACAAAATTAATTTGCTGGGAAAGCAAAGCAGAAGGGAGATCTTATTTACCAAGGCCTAGTATCTTTGCCCCCACTTTCTACTCCAGTGGTGGCACCCCAGTTTCCTCTAGGGGTCATTTATAAAAACTGGGTCTCACTTCCATGATCTAGAAGCCACCTAAGCAAGCCAGGCGTTGGTCCTGCTCCCATCCCAAGGGCTCAAGTCCTGAGGGAGCCAGGAGGCAGCGCACTCCTAGATTACCCCCTGACAATTCTCCAGACCTCTGGTGTCACTGGAGCTTCCAGGACACCAGGGCTGGGCTCGGCCCACTAAAATCTGACAGGAATCAGCTGAGAAGTGTCTAGGTTCATAATAAGAGACATTAATTTTTTTTTGCTCCGAATGCCTTCAGGGCAGGTTTGGCTGACTTGAGTTGTGGGGATCAAACCACAGCAACCTGAGCCTGACTGCTTTGTTGAAGCAGCTACTTAAAGAACTGAGCTAGGGCCAGGCCCCCAAGAGACATTAATTTTTTTATAAAAATAATCTCTTACCTTTGTTCATTGACCCAGAATTTGCTCTTTAAGCTGAAATTCAAAATAAAATCATACAATAAATACAATAAGAAGTACTAACTTTTTTTTCAAGTCACAGGGATGCCTGAGTCTTTAAGGGCATTTTTGCACTTCCTGATGTTCAAACAATGTGGAAGCCACCCAACTTGGAGACTCAGCTTGAATAAGTATGCAGGGAAAAGGCTTCTCTTTTTTTCATTGACTCTTTTCTACCATACTCTATATGCTTGACTAAGTGAGCTTGCAGTCAAAGCTCATGCCACACAAGTTTGCCCAATCTGGACCCAGAAACCATGGCAATGACCACACCGGTGTACAGTGAGGCCTGTAACTCTCTTTCCTTTCCCCTGTACACATGAGGCTCTGACCATCACCTGGGCACCTGGGAGAAGTTCCAACTCCCTCCTCAGCCTAACAGTTAGATGCTGAATTTCAGACAATCAGAAGTTGAATGACAAGATGGGAAATGGACAGATACCAGCTCTAGGCCCCAGAGTTCAGACCTATGGACTATCATTGTCATCAAAAATCAAGCAAGCAAGCAAGCAAACAAACAAATCTAAAATTCTGCATTGCAAATTTGCTACTAAGAACAAAGTTGAAAGTAATTTATTGTTTTATTGAACAAACACTATGTACTCTGCTTTTATTTGGGGGCTTAGACGGAATTCTTTTTGTTTGTGCCACTGAGCTGTGTTCCTAGCCTTGAACAGGCTTCTCGATTTTGCTAACTGCTGGTTTGGCCTTCTTCTTCCAGCAGCTGTTTTCACCATCTTCAATGTTTTCTAGTTACTTGAGCTTGTTTCCTCCTTACTCGGGGCTCTGGTAGGGGAAACAACTGAACACACCACTAAAATTAGATGGTGTTGATACCTCAGAGCAGAGGGGGACTGGATCGCACTCCCTGAGGAGCTCTCCACAGCATGCTCTTACCAAGCTGCCCGTTCTGGTCGGAGTACTGGAGGCCTTGCACCCAGGGCCTGGGCCTGATGAGCGCAGCTGCGGAGCTCAGCGAGCTCGATACTCACTGAAGAGTTCAAGCAGTTTTCAAGGGCAATGATAACTCTTTGAAAGGCCCATCGAGCCCTTCACTGGGCACACACACAGATAGTTCCTGACTACCTTTATTACTGAGATCTAATTTGTGCCTTTCTCCTTTCTGGTTTTTACTTTTCTTTTTGTTTCTCTCTTTTTTTCTTCCTACTTTTTCCTCTTTATTCATTTATGTCCAAATATTGTTCTTTCAACCAATTAAAATACAGGACTATGGGGCTGGTGAGATGGCTCAGTGGTCTAAAGCACCTACTTAGAACAAGCTTAGCAAAAAAGCACAGGGACCATGGTTCAATCCCCCAGCACCACATGCCAGCCAGCCCCGCCCCCTGGTGGGCTGAGCTGGCCACACACACACACACACACACACACACACACACACACACACAAATAAATAAAATTAAAAATAAAATAAAATAAAATACAGGACTACATTGTTGAATAAATTGTATGCATTTTAAATAATAGTTTAAGTAGTGTATGCCTTAAACTTTGATTTTTCATTTTTAAAAAGAAAATATCCTACTCTCCTGATCATAGATTCTGTGAGAGTAAATTATTGTCTGTGCCTTGCCAATTTGGTCTACAAGGAGCTGGAATTAAAAAAAAAAATAGAAGGAAAAAATAGAAACAAAGCTTTTGTAAATAAGAAGGGGGAAAGGGGTTGAAGGGAGGGGAGGGGAATGGGAGAAAGAGAAACAGTAAGATAAATCACGTATAGGTAAACATTTTCTATGGTGAACATTATCATTATATCTATCTAAAGTAAAATGAATAAACAAGATGCAACAAAGCATCCCTTCTTACCTGCCTCTTATAAGAGAAGGATACGTTTTTACCAAGTAGTCAGAAATGTTCCTGTTGGTAAGGTCTTGTAGGATTTCAGTGCTACCCTGTGTTCTCTGAAGCAATGAGACACTCACGTTAGTCACTTGGAAAATTGAGATTTTACAGTTTGTGAAACTGTTGTTCTCCAAAAATTACATATGGACTCAGCTCCTGGGAAAATGCAAAACAAAGCATTGGCATCTGTCTGCTTCTGTCATCAGTGATGGAGGCAACTTTGATCCTTTTTTCTTCCAGTCCATGGACAAGATAGGCCACCTTAATTCCAAAACAAACCTCAGCCCTTGTGTGTTTCTCCTAGCTTCAACCTTCTCCCCTTCATGTGCATTTATCCAGATTCAATCACGTAGACCCCATCTCAGCCTCTAGAAAACTTCCACATCGTGTCCTTTACTCCACCCTTGTTCCTTTTGCTCCATTCTCCACCCAGCCACCAGATGGAGCTTTCAAAGTATAAATCATACACCTCAGCCACCTTGCTTAAAACTGTTCAATAAAATCTAGGGTCAAATCCATCTCATTATGCAGGCACTGTGGCCCCTTGCGATCTGGCCTCGGCTTCCCGTGTGAGGGTACTACCACCCTCCCTTCACCTGCCTGCCCCTTCCAGTTTCTCAGTGGGTGCCCTTGGTTTCTGACCTGGCTTTGTGTGTGGTGGGTCACCTTCAAGATTGGCCTCCAGGTGGCAATATAACTCTGTATTTAGGAACACAGTATTTACTGAGTTTCTTGTATTAGCTAATTACATAGTCCAATCATGAACTGTGGGAAAAGTATTCACTTTGTCTATGCGTGTCCCCCACGGATACATGTGGGGATTTTTGGTGGTATTAAGCCACCACTATCATGCACCATTCTTTTCACTTTTTTTTTTTTTTTTTTTTTTTGCAGAACCGGGGATTGAACTCAGACCCTTGCGCTTGCCAGGCAAGTGCTTATTCTACTGAGCCATCTCCCCAGCCCCTCTTTTCATTTTTGTACATTTTCCATCTCAGCTTCCTCCTTACCATCTGACTGTCTCCCTTCAGTTCACTTACCTCATTGTGTTTTCCTCTGTAACAGAGCTAGCATCTACTGAATGCCTGCTGTGAGCCAGGCACTCTGTTAAACATCGTCTCACTAAACCCTGATACTTTTTTTAAAAAGTACATGTTTACACTATACGCAGTTTACAGTCATCTTGGGGAGTGGGTATGAGAGCAGAATTTTTACTTCAGTTGGCAGATAGAGAAACAGAAGTCTGGAAAGGCTGGCTGACTTGCCCTGCCTTGTAGGTTGTTGGCTGGATGTGGAACTTGGATCTGTCTGGCTCCACGGCCCTTGCTCCTGCCGCTCCATCACCCGCTTCTCAGGCGGGCAGTGGCATCCAGGGAAGCCTCCCCAGGCTTGAAAAGCTGCTGGTGTGGTGATGACTTAGAATAAGCCATTTTCTAAAAATTGTGTCAAACAAAATCCTCTTACTTATCTCCAGGTATGCTAGAAGCCAGGGACACAGCTCTTCCAACTCAGGACCCACTACCTTTAGAAAACATTTTAGAGAAGGAAGGACCTTGATGACCGCCCCACTTTTTACCACCCCCATTTTCCAGACTAAAAATGTGTACTACTTCTGAATCAGGCCCATACCCTCTGCTCCTCAGCCAGCCAAAGTGGGAGCGTGCACTTGAGCGAATGGTGTGTGTGTGTGTGTGTGCACATGTGAGAGGGAGAGAGAGAGTAAGCAGATGTGTGACGTTCGATTTTACTCCAAAAAGGAAATGTAGGACTAAAAGAAAATAATAGGAGAAACTGGTTTGCCTTTTCGAGGCCTTTGGCTGTAAGAACTTGTTAAATTTCTCCCCAGGGATCGAGATCAGCACTACAAAAGACAAGTTTTAACTTAGACAGGTAGCTTCAAGGTCATGATTCATTGAGAAACCAAACCACCTTGTAGTTTGCACGGCCTGCTCTCCTCTCCCAGCCTACAGCTTAATGGGCAGTGTCACAGCCACGCTGCCCTGCTGCAGCAGCTAAGGGGACCCTCAGCCGCTTGACTGAAAGCAACGCAGAAGCAAAAGTTAATCACTGGGTACAGAGAACTGAGATAGCTCCTTGAGTCCTTTTGAGATCCCTGTGATGCTACAGTGATGGAGTTGTGAGTCAGACAGGGTATATTGCTTCAGAAATAAAGGTGTATGCTTTGAGAGAAAGATGAGCACAGAACCCTTTATAAACCAGCAACTGGATTAGACACTATAGCAAACTCTGCTTTTCATATTGCCATTGGAAGAGCTTGCTTTTTTGGCCCTAGATCACTCAGAATGAAGACGACAGCCCCAAGTCTCCCTGATGCGAGGTTCTGGCCAGTGACATAACAGTGGAAGTGCTCTGCCGTAGTACCTCCTGGAAACCTCCCTTGCACACATTTGCCCCCGTTCTTTTCTTTATCTCCTCTCCTATCCTGCTGTCCAGAAAATAGATTCCGCCATCATGGCCAGGGAGCTGGAGCACAGAAAAGCAGCAGGACGCTATGGACCACTCAGATAGGAGAAACACAAGCCACATCATCTCATCCACTATTGCTTTGAAGTGGTCATCACTTCAGGTGACTTTAATTCTAAATAATTCTCTATCCATGTTATTTCACCAAAGCCTCACCATAATGCTATGAAGTTAGAGCACTTCAGCTTCTAGAAAGGAAGAAGGCGAGTAGCCAGCTGGAGTTCTTTCCTCCCTTCAGCCAAGCCACTCCCGCCTTACCACACTGCCTGTGTGGGAAGCGCTCACTCCGGGCAGATCAGGAAAGGAGCTCTGCGAGGCCATTATGGCAAGTGGCTGGAGGATATTACCAAGAAGGGGCAAAATGCAGCTTTTCCAGCCACTTTGCTTCTTCTGGAATGCCCAGGAGAGCGTCACTGCTGTCCAGAGTGCAGAACTGTAAAAGACAGCACTGCTGAAAGCACAGTCAGCGGCAGCCTGTGCAGATGTGCTGCTGTGCACACACGTCAAGTCCAAAGCACAGGGACGCTTCCTCTAAGACCTCTGTTAAGTGTGCAAGTCCATTAACACTTGAATGTGTACCATAGTAATGTTAGTAATGCAGAAATATTGAAAACTCAAGTGTCCAGCAATAGGGGATTAGTTAAATAATTTAAAGTAAGCCCAAATAGCATGCAGCTATTAAAAATGGTATAGATGTATATTAATTGATGTGACTGTTCATCATATGTCAATGTGAAATGAGCAGGTTTGAAGACAATATTTTGAATATAATTCTGTTTGGATAGATAGGATTCAAATGTTTTTTTTTTTTAATTTTATTATTTTAGGCAAGGGTCTACAGGGTGTTCAGAGTCTCACTACTAGATTGGACTTATAGTGATCCACCTGTTTACAGCCTCCCAAGAGCTGGGATTACAGGTGCGCACCACCATGCCCGGTCTCAATTGCTATCTCAGTGTGCCTCGGGAGTGAGGCAAGCACGGCAGGCCTGGGGATTGAACCCCCTTCCCCTGTGCCTGCTTGCAGCTATTTGGCTGGCCCTCAAATTTTATTATCATTACCTCTAAGTGATGAATTTTTTTCTCCTGACTTAGCTGTGTTTGTTAACTTTTCTGCAATGAGAATGGATGACCTTGCTATTTGGTGGCTTGACTTTCACAGACTCACTGTTTTGCAGGCTTTCAAAAAATATTCGAGGGGGGGGGCAGGGAGATGGCTCAGTAGAATAAGCACTTGCTTGGCAAGCACAAAGGCCTGAGTTCAATCCTCAGTTCCCCAAAAAATAAAATCTAAATTATTTATCTCAGGGTTTTCCCTATATTGCAGGATTCTGGAGTATATGTACAATATATGCATGTTGTTAAAATTACATAAGTTTATGAGTTTACAAAATGGTTAAGAACATGAGAAATGTTTTTAAGAGTGAGGGAGATAGCTCAGCAGCATAAGCACCTGTTTAGCAAGTGCAAGATCCTGAGTTCTATCCCTGGTACCAAAATAAAGTAAAATAAATAGAAGTGCTTTTAAAAGTGTGGGAAAAATTTATAAGAGTGTGGGAAGGGTTTATAAAGCCTCAAAATATATAAAAATATTAAAATAAATGTAACATCACTACTTTGCTAAATTTCACTTATCCCAGGGTGTCTGGGATGTAACCTCTGCGATAAGTGAGGGGCTACTGTAATTTTTTAAACTTTGAAAACATTCTCTTGAATAGGAAGTGTTTGGTGGAAAGTGAAGTTTTGGTCAGTGACTTCCTGCAGGTGGCAATAACAAGGGCTTCTGGGAAATGCCTCTAAAAGACCCAGGGAACCTAGTTTGACCCTCTCCCACCTGTTAGATGGTTGGAAATACTAGTTGTCTACAGGCTCAGAAGCAGAGGCACCCTTCTGAGCCTGTTGCCAACAAACACCAAGCCTACAGGTTGGGGCCAGTTTCCAGAGGGGCAGAGGTACCTGTGGGGGTGGGAGCCCCCCAGCTCCCTCAGGGCACTCAGGCAGCATGGTGAGCTTCTCTCTGGTGCTGCACTTGCAGGAGGGTGAGGGATTAGATGGCGTCCATTTCTGCTTCTGGAATAGATGCGTGATGTTCGGGGACACAGAGGGAGTCTTCCAGGGGGTTGAATTGCCACAGGGGTACTCCCTCATGGAAAACAGAAAAATAATCCACAATCAATTCCAAAGTTGATTTAAAAAAAATTCCTTGGAAGAAGAAATAGCATCTAATGCTTTTTCTCAGCTTTTCACCCTCCTCCTGTTAGAGGTTCAGTTATGCTCAAGAGCCATCAATAAAAGGTTGACTGACTAGTTTGGGGCTAGGAAATAACTAGTTTGCAGACTTCCTCATCTCCTTGTTTTGATCTAGTAGCTCTAGCTGTGAGAACAATAAAAAAGGAATTATAAATTAGTCTAGTCTGATTCTCACTGATAGACTAGACAAGACGAGAAGTTAAAATCACACTGAGTCTGTAGAATTCCTGGTACATTTCAACTCTCCTCCGTGATTCTCTTCTTTATATTTATATTGATAATTGAGAACTAGCTTAGAAATAATTAGTGCCATTTGAAGTCCAGTTATACAATAGCATATACGCTGCCATCCTCCTGTCCCTGGTCAGATGCAGGCCAGGGACATGGAAGTGACCCATGTAATACAGAGCAAGCCTGAAGAGGTATCTTGCAGCCTAAACCCTGATCAGAGCAGTTGGCATTAGGGCAGGGGAGCTCAAGGACTTACAGAAGCCACGCTTTCTTCAGGCAGCGGTTGCCAAAGCCTGGCTTGTTCAGGAGGACGTCTGCCAGCACTGCAAGGCGCTCATTGCCAGGCTCGTCCATGCTAGACAGCATGAGAGAAATTCACCCAGAGGTCACATGATGAAAGCAGCCAGCATGCAATCTAGAGTCCCCTGAACAGCAGCCATACGCCAGGCATGTGTGTGAGGGACGGCTGCCTGAATGTGCCTAAGCACTGATGGCAGGTTGTCTGCACCTCAAAAAGATGGAGCTCAACCTGCTCTCCCACACTTTACATCCTCTTCTTTCTCCCTTTCCACTTGGGACCATCTTTCTAAGCAGTGGCAGGTACATTAACACCGTTTCTCAAGGAAGCAGAAGGCCTCCTGCATGCTGCTGAAGATCCCAGGAGGGAGGGCCAGGGTTCTTCCAAGGGCATGTGGACGGCATACCTGAAGAAGGTATACTGCTGCCCGTATATCCAGGGGTGAAGAGTCAAGGCAGGAAATTCACCAAAAGGAGGCACAATCATGGAAAGCATCAGAGCCAAAAGCACAAACGTGGCTGGGAGCACAATCTGCAGAATAAATGTGGAAACACGGGCTCTAGCATGATAGGACAAACTCATGCACATGCAAGTGTGCCTAAACATTCATTCTGCCACCTCCAAGGAAGACCCTGGGGAAGAAGGACACACCTCTGGGGAAGTATTACAGGTAGGATTGCAAAGATACGATACAGTAGAAGAGCGCTGGGGGTGTGGCACAGTGGTAGAGCACTTGCCTAGCAAGACCCTGGATTTGATCCTTAGTATTAAGGAAAAAAAAAAAAAAATACATAGAGGACAGCAGAATGCCCTGGCAGCCACTGAAGAATGTGAACATAGGTGACATTCAGCCAAAGGCCAAAGGCCAATTCAAAAAGTGACTCATACTGTTTATCGTTCTTTGGATCAGAGTTTCTTTTTCTGAATGAAAACATGAAAAGAAACAAAACAGACAATAACTTGAATATGTAGGGTCACTGCAAAAATTTACTGAAAACATGACTCTATTCTCCACTCTAAAAGGCAGAAACAATATTAACATGGTCACTACTATTCTATTTTCTCTGCTAAGTGAGCTTCACTACTTACAAAGAACACCGATTACCCAGAATCAAAATAAAGTTTGAGCAAGGAGGAAGCAAAGTCAACAGATTCTCAAGAGGTTGCTCAGGGCTGTGTCTGAACCCACATGGGCAGGAATACTCAGGAAATAGGGGACAACCAGGAGCAGGCCCACAGGCCCAGGAAGTGCTGCCAAGCATAGCCCAAATCGCCAACAACACCTGAGCCAGGAAGTCCTTGTGGCTGCGAACTGTGTGGTGGAATCGCTTCACCAGCAGCGCTTGCACTTGCTGCAGGACCCGCCGCACACCCGTGTTGAGTGAGAAACTGGGTTGCTCCGGCTCCGGGGGAGGCTGGCCCTCGGGGTGAGCCTCCTGCTCTGGAGAGCAGCTGTTGGAGTCTTCGGCAGGCTGCCTCGCCTTCTTGCTAAGCCCCAAATAGGGGTGGCGGAGATTGACATGTTCCCTTTTGTGCTGAGTGCCACCTATTTGAGGAGGTTGAATACAAAAATTGGAAGTGTACATGTAAGTTCTGGATCCTACGTACCTTTTTTGTTTTTTAACAGCATTGGCTTAGTTTTTTCTTTTTCTTTTCTTAGAGCAGCAACATTTCAGGCCAGATAAATTAATAACCTTTTTAAAAAAAATTCTATTTGTCAGTGTAAATTTTCTACAGAATCATCTGAAATCATTTAAAAATTTTGTTTGCATTAAAGAGAACAAAATAGTTGAGTGCATTGACATAAAGAGAGCCCTGCAGCCCTTAACTCTGGCTGGTGCATTGGGCTCCAGCCTGGATGGGACCTTCAGAGGATGGAAATGAGTCAGCCAGAAGAAGAAGGAGGAGGAGGAATAAGAGGAAAGGGGAAGAAGAGGAAGAGAAGAGGAGGAAGATGAAGAGAAGGAAGAGGGAGAGGAGGAAGAGGAAGAAGGAGGAGAAGAGGAAGAGGAGTAATAAGGAGAAGAGAAGGAGAAGGATAAGAAGGAAGAGGAGAAAGAAGAGGAAGAAGAAGAAGGAGAAGGAGAAGATAAAGGAGGAAAAGGAGGAGGAGGAGAAGAAGAAGGAGAAAGAGAAGGAGGAGAAGGAGAAGGAGGAGGAGAAGGAAAGGAGAGGAAGACATGCTCCAGTGTCAGACTTCAGCTATGAGTCCAGGTCAGGAAATGGAGAATGATGAGTGTGGCACGAGTCCATCACTGAACCTGCAGAACTCTGCCCTGGAGTGCTGGGGCAGGTGCTCTCCACTACCAGAGCCCCTGCCTCCTGGGCCTAGTGCACGTGGCTACCTGGGAATGTTAGTGGAGAGGATGACTGAGCCAACCCAACTGCCTTTACAGCTGTCCTTTTCCTGAAGGATGTGAGACCACTAAAAAAAGAGTGGGGGACGAAGTTGAGGTCCCCAGGCAATCCTGCTGTATCTACCACATATGTTCTGCAAAGAGACCCCCAAGTAACCATGGGCTTCAACATAAACGACAACTTGTCTGAATAAATAAATAAATAAAATTAAAAAAAAAAACCAACTAGGAGAGACTTGCTGCAGGTTCTCATCTACATGTAAGAGAGGGCCCAGTGGGAGGACTGTGGCAGCACGGGTAGGGTGTCTTGTTCCATCAGAAATGGTCCATGCTGCAGCAGACAAGTTACCTCTGCTGGACTTTCATCTCCCCATCTGCCCCCTCTGCAGTGAAGTTTACTATACTCACAATGTTTTGTGTGGCCGTGTGACCTGGGCTCAAGTTGACATGTGTCAAGGAGAGACTCCCACAATCCACAAGGATTTTAGTCCCCCCCCCCAGTTTCAAAGTCCAAAGGTCAATAAATGAGGGCTCATAATGTCTTTATCTTGGTCTCTCAGGGACCCGAAGACTAGCTGGCATCTGGGTTGTATTAATTGTCACTGTTATCTCTTAGGATTCTGCCAGCTGCCACTCATGGAGACAGGAATGATCAGAGGTCTGGTGGAGAGGTGATGAGATGAGGATGGTGGCGTGTTGGGAATAAAAGACTGGGGATGTAGGATGGGAAGATTTGGGCTCAAGCTATAAATCAGACCATAAATATTCTGATTCATTCAGAATGCTTCTCCTTTGTCACTCAAAGGCACGAAGAAGCAAAGCACTTAATACTTAAGGATCAGACCCCATAGAGGAGAATTTTCCTGCACTGTTTTGTGACTCTTCCCCTTCATCTGTCAAGAGAGAGTTGGTGTGTGGATGGGGGCTGGGCGAGAGAGCTCCAGGCTCCAGCATTTTACCAGAAAACAGAAGTCCTGAATCGGAGTCCTCTGTGACCTTCAGAAAAATCTGTTGAGAAATTAAAAAAGAGAATTTGAGTTAGGCAGTCTCACTCTCCGAAAAGTGGAACTGATTGTGTTCTGTTGGGTACTGCTTCATCGCAAGAAGAAAGTGCACCATGGCTGGTTTCCTAAGAACATAGTCTTATAGAAATGCAAAAATGTAAACATGCAGTGACCACAACTACATAAGATATGCATGCATGTGGACAGAGGTAGGAGGAGGCAACACAAAACTGAAGACGGTTGCTCTCTTGAGTGGGCAATTACAGCTTTTCGCTTTATAAATAAAACCTTCACTCTAGTGTTAGCCTTTTACAAAGAACTACCTCTTCTGGCACCAGACAGAAACCAGTTGAAATTTCTGCTTTACCTCTTCCAGGGGTGTGTCAGAAATTCCAAAACTGCTCAGCCCCAGGTCCGCCAGGGTCTCCTCCAGCTCTCTGAAGAGGCTAGCATATGCCCTCTGCTTGAAATTCTTATTTGGAAGGAGGAAGATGACTTCTTGACCAATGCATTCCACCAGCTTTGCCTCTGGAACATGGTGGCAAACCACGTCCATCAGCTCATTCACATCCCCTAAGACAAGAAAAAAATCTTGATGCCAACTCTGTTTTCAAGAACCTGGCAGAGTGAGGTTTCCCAGATCCCCAGGCTCTTCCACCTCCTGTCACAGGAAGGGGTACTTTGCCATTTAGCAGCGACTCTTCTGGAGGACTGGCTCCCATCAAGTTTGTTTTTAGTTGACTGTAATGGCAACTGAGAGGCAGAAGCAGAAGGCAAAAGCACTCTCCTCAGAGTGACTGTGCAGCCTCTTGGAGAGCGGGTCATGTCCTTGGGCCAGTTTCTGCCTCGGTTCAGTCAAATATTCTGTTGCTTCAAGCAAAGTAACTGAGCAGGTCCTACCTCTGTTTTCTCATATGTGAAAGGGGGAAAATGATAGTCACTGTGGTTCACTATCTTTCACTGGTAACTTGTGGGTTAAGTGAAAGTTGTTTTCATTTTTCTAGTCTGGCTGAAGCAAGCTCTGGAAGAGGGCATTCCTGAAACAGGTGTCAAGCTGAGCCAGAAAAATCCACTTCCTAAATCACACACCCATGCCTGGTCTTGGAGGGCTGCGCTATTTCCCTTGTGATTACATCTCTCCCCTTTAAGTAAAGTGAAGAGACACAATGCAACACAACACTAGCTCCCAGGAAATGTACTTAAGGGCATGGTGGCCTGGACTGCAGGTGAGCATCACACATCCAACAGGTGTGCCCTCCTACAATCAGAATTTCATTCCTACACGAGCATGTGTTGCTCTAAAACTTTAAATTTAATTTTAAAAATATACTTTAAATAACCTTAAAGCATGCACCAAAAGAGAGATAGTTAGTTCCTTAGCACATTGTCTTGAGAGGCAGGTTAAAAGGAAAGAGATTCCGTGAACTCAAAACATGACTCTCACAAGTAGTTCTCCTAGGATCACCCTGTGAATTTTTTTCTTTGTTTTAAAAAGAGCCATGTGGAGGGATTTTATGGCTTTGAGCAAAGATCCCCTGCTTAGCTGGATTGGAAGGCTTGCAGTATGTCAAGCCTGAAAATTGGCCTTGATTGTCTTAAGTTCTGGGATGACTTCATGGAGGGGGTGGTTTTCATGTGAGAAGGAAGTTGTGCCCCAGTACCTCTGTAGGGGTCAAGTGCATTGTTCTCATAGGAAGGAAATGGAACCTGAAGCCGCTGGATTCCCAGGAATTGCGTCTTAGCACTAGAGGCTGGCAGGGCCCTGGCTCCGGCAGGGAGGTCTCTGGGTGTGTGTGGTATGTGGGTGTGTGTAAGTGAACAGCCCTCCACAGCATTAACTGGGGATTTAAATGCTCTTCCCTCCATGATTCAGGGCCTAACTACTTAGTACGTTTCCCACCAGTGACAGCATTCCCATTCTACACAAAGCAAATCTTGCCTTAGAAATAAAGTCATATTTTAAAAAGATCATCCCAGTTAAACTGGCCCTGTTTCCAACTTGATTTTGGTGGACCACAGTGATTAATCACATTGTTGTTAGTTTTGGTTTTTTTTGTTGTTGTTGTTTGTTTTCTTAAAGTCAATTTCTTAGCCAGGATTGTGAAGAGGTCTCTTCAGAAAGCTGGGAATACCCAGACAAGGCACAAGGCACAGAAGTGTCATTCTAAACAGACGTTTTCTGTTTGTTAAAGGTTCTGTCACTGCAAGGAAGGTGGGGTGGAAATACTGGCAATGAACTTCACTCACTGTCCCTTAAAGGTTAAGTATAGTACCTAAATATTGTCTGGTTTTATTATTTTACCAGGTTTCACTCAGTAAATTCCTTAGGCTTAGGAAAAATCTAGATAAGATGCTATGTTTTTTTCTTTGTTTTTGTTTTTGTTTTAATTTTGATGCATGTTATTTTTCTGCTTAACTTTTTTTTTTTTTTTTTTTTTTGCAGAACCGGGGATTGAACTCAGATCCTTGCATTTGCCAGTCAAGCGCTTATCCTATTGAGCCATCTTCCTGGCAAGATGCTATGTTTTGTTTCTTTGATAAGCACATACTTTTCTCCTTGTGTTAACTTGGGTCAGGGCATGAGACCGAGTTACAGAGGTGTGGTATTCCATCTGCAAAGACCCCTCCACAAGGGGCATGGAGGTGGGGCATGGAGTGGGCCCTCGTGGAGGACGGAAGGCAGGGCAAGCTCTGAGTCCCTCCGCGGCAATGGCCTCTTCACCGCACTTCCCTGAAGGTGAGGCTGCCTGTGAGAGCTTCAGTGTACCCTAACTCCAGAGAGAATCACTGCAAAACTGGGTAGCCAAGGGGAGAGTGAGGCGGTCACAGGGTGTGCGAGGTTGCACGCATTTGTTATTCACGCACAGTTCTGGTTCTTCAAATTGGCCACTAAGAGTGGTGCGCCAGCACGCTTCCGCCAGAGGGCGCAGAGGAGCAGCTCTGGAAATTGCTGTGCAGACCCTGAGGAACGTCCCAAACCAGCAAAAGGACCCCAGACTAAAGGCTTAATAGGGATGAGGGCGCAGAGTGAACAAATATTAAAGGGAGAGGGCCCTTTGGCGCATGACTTTTACATCCAGTTGGAAATGAGAGAAAGAGAAAGAATGTCAGAGAAAAAGATGGTAATTGCGTAAGTTTAGGTCTGAGAACACCCAGTGTTTTCTTTGCACCCCCTCAAGCACCTCGCAACTAGACACACCCAGCAATACCTGGCGATGGTCGCTGGACCAGAACCAAGGTACGACCTGCCCTCGCCCTTACCGTCCAAGGCTTGCTCTGGAGTTATTTCATCAACGCGGGCTGGACACCTGACAGAGAAACCCGGAGACGCACAGCTGCAGGTCCCCTACAATAGATGGACAGGAATGACAGAGAAGGGTACATATCACTTCAGTGACAGCATCTCCCTAAGGCCAACTGCTGTCACCACGTTCTTTGTTTCTTACTGCCAAATGTGGTCAATACGGTTTTTTTTTTTTTTTTTTTTTTTTTCACTGCTTAATCTAAGTCATCTGAGAAGTGTGAGGGTGGAACTGTTTGATTTTATCCTAGAGAGTATGTGAGTCAGGCAAAGAGAGAATTAAAACCTCAAAGGATCCTTTGGCTTGTCATTAATCAAGTGACAGCTGCAGGTTCTGCCTGTGTGAGACGTTCGTCTCCTCCCTCCCCATGGATGTGTGCTGAGCTGTAGAAATCTTCCCAGGACAGGAAAACCCATAGTGCTTAAACTAGGACATAAATAATGCTGTGGTTTAACACTTGTGACACTTGGCGTGTGAGTGATGCCTGTTCTCAAGGAGCCTGGCGCACATTCATAATACCTTATCTCACACTGTATCTGTACCGCATCCCTGAGAAGCAGAGTCAGAAATTACTAGTTTCGTTTCTCATGTGGGGAAAAACAACCGAAAAAAATTACATTATTTTTCCAAGATGACACAGTTTGTACACTTGGTAGCTCACACCCGAACCGGGGTCTCCTGAGATGCTCAGCAGTCTCTGCCAGTTAGTATTTTTTGGCTTCACCATTTTTAGGTTATTTCCAAGAGGACCTATCTTCTGTTTGCATTTACCACTAGAATTCAGGTTTAATTAGCACACATGAACGTGGGAATGAAAGGAAACGTAAACAACTACTCTTAAAGAAGTCCAACCTTAAGAGACACTTGCTTCTATGCTGTAGCAGACCACTTGTGCAGTTCAGAGTACCGGTGTGCAATAATTTCAAGTTGTTGGAAACTAGTTGTATCATTTGGGGTAAGTGTCTCGGGAGGAGGTTCAGAATGTGTTTATCAAAATCTCCTGGGCCAGGCGTGGTGGTGCACACCTGTAATCCTCCACTCAGGAAGAAGAGGCAGGAGGATTGTTATGAGTTTGAGACCAGCCTGGGGTACAAAATGAGCTCAAGGCCAGCTTAGGCCACATAGCGAGACCTTGTCTCAAAAAGACTGCATAAGTAAATAAATAACAAACAAATAAATAGATGAACAAATAAAATCTCCTGCAAATGGTCTCAGAAATAAATAAGCTGATTCTGCTTGCTAGAGTTCGAGCGTGTGAAAATGCCCAGAGCAGCTGCTTGTGTCTCCCTTTTTTCCCAGGACGCGCTTTTCCCTGGGCAGACACATACCTCACAGCTGCCTCCTTGACTTTGGATGTTTTTCATCTTGCGAACCAAGGTCAAGTAGAAGCCTGTGCCGAAGCAGTTCTTCAGGAAGAGCGGGGTGCCGGAGCAGTAAAGTCTTCCCTGGGAGATTATGGCAACGCGGTCTCCAAGGAGGTCTGCCTCGTCCATGTGGTGGGTGGACATGATGATCGTTCTGCCTGTGGGGTAGGTAGGGAAGGCAGGGAAGCACGGGCGGCCGTGCCTAGGGTTTGGCTGGCAGAGGATTACAGCAACCTCCTGGTGATATGGTCACAAAAACTGGGAGATAATAAACGAAAACAAGGGGACTAATTCAGCAAGTTCCAGGACACTTGGATAATAAAACTAGCATTTCATAGCATAGAGCACAGTCATAGAAGGCATCTTTTTATGGGATATAAGGCTGATTCAAATAAATCACCACATACGGGCACATTCATTATTTTCAGTGTTTTCTCGAGTTCCGTATTTACATTCTCTGGGGATCACAAAGCACTGTGAGTATAAACTTGGTAAGAACACACACAAACACACTCTGACTAACTAGAAGTGTCATTAAAAGAAAGCAGTCATGAGAATTTTAGGATGGAAATCTTCAGGGAAAAGCATGGGGAAACACAGTGTACATAGAGAGGCGAAATCTCTGGTCAGCACTTGAGTCGCCCTGTCATTTTTATGGGCTCTTTGAGCTCTACCTGCTGTCTCTTCTGGACCTGAGTCCTCTGGAAGGGGCAGGGACAGAGAAGCAAAGGTCCCATCCTGAGACGCTTGAATCTGCAGCTGTCCTCCACAGCACTGAGCACTCACTGCAGTGGCCTCCCACCTCTTCCTGAGTGGTCATCCAACAGCAAGAGACCTCTGGGGATGTTTCTGGTGATCTGAGTCCCCTTAGTTAGGGGAATGTCTCTTAAAGCTGTACCTATTGCCCCAGATAGAGGGACTAGGGGTTGAGTCCTTCTGTGAAGTAGGCTCTTCCTCATCAGTGACTCCCTGTTTATAATTTATGTAAAAATCTCAGGAAGCTGCAACATAAACGTAACCTCCCTGGAAAAGCTGCATCTGACAGTAGTTATGGCCACTGGAGTACTTAGTTGCAAAGAGCCAGGGGTGAAAGCGTGGCACCCACGAGGAAAGCCAAGCAGGGGCATCACCTGCACGGTACTTCAGGAGCAGGTCCCAGATGGAACGTCTGGAGTAGGGGTCCACTCCAGAGGTAGGCTCATCCAGCACAACCACCTTGGCGTCTCCCACAAAGGCTATGGCGACAGACAGCTTTCTCTGCATGCCACCTAGAGGCACAATGAAGAAGGTGTCAGTGGGGTAGGTGAGAAAGAGAAAGGCCCAGGCTGGCAGCACAAGGGGCCCCTGGAATCCAACAATGGTTTGATGCTGTTCCCTTAGATGTCCAGACAGCATTCAGAATCCCAGTGCTATTTAGACCTCATAAATGTGGAAAAGGAGACCCTTGCTTCCTGGGACCTCACCATCTGAAATCTGTTCTTCTGTTTCAGTTCAAATACATAAATGACAAAGCAAATAAAGCCCAGGCTGCTGCAAGACTGTGTTTCGTATGGAAAATGATCCAGAGGTGGGCTGCTCTCGGGTTCTCGGAATCACTTCACAGAAGCTTCCGGCTATCAGGCACGCTCCTGTTAGTTACAAGTGTCCCCACCTCCTGGGTGCCCTGGGAAGCAATGGTCTGCCATCTGTGGCCCTGTCTCCTTCCAGCGAAGGCACCTGAGAGGTCCTGAGCTTCTTCATTCCTCTTGTGGTGGAGGCCTGTGTCCTCTAGCATGGCCTCCATCTCCAGCTGGGCCTCCTCCCAGGACTTCCCTTTCAGCTGGGCATAGAACAGGATGTGCTCAGCCACTGTAAGGCTACGGGGACAGGAGGACAGGAAAAGCAAAGGGCTCAGTAATTCTATCTCTCACAACTCATCTTATGGAACTAAAGATGAATATCAAGGTTTTGCAACCAAAACATTCACTGTGATATTGTTTGTGATATAAAACCAGACCAGTGATATAGCTCAGAGGTACAGCACCTGCCTGGAAAGCCCAAGGTTTTGAGTTCGATTGCCAGTACCAAAAAACAAAACAAAACAGAAAGCAACACAGTGCAGGGGCCAGGGGTTCAATCCCTGGGCCTGCTGTGCCAGCCCTGCCCCCGGAACACACTGAGATGGCAATTGAGACTGGGCGTGGTGGTGCACCTGTAGTCTGAGCTCTTGGGAGGCCATAAACAGGCAGATCACTATGAGTCTGATCTAGCAGTAAGACCCTTAACATCCTGTAGACCATTTCCTAAAACATAAAAAATAAAAAAAAAAAAACAATACAAACAAGCACAATCCTACCTAAGTATTTAATAAGAGAATGGATTCCCTGGTTCATTCATATGATGGAATTGTATGAGAACATTAAAATTCTTTTATAAAGCAATGTACAATGACGTGAAAAGATATTCATAATATCTTTGTTTAAAAGAGAAATCATATTTTAATTAGATTTTAAAATTATATGAGTAGTTGTATTCTCCTTTATAATTTAAAAGTATATATGTAATATACATACAAGCATAAGAAAAAGTTTTGAAAAATTACATAGCAGGGTATTAACAATTGTTGTCTCTGTATTGTGACTTAATTATTTTTGTTTTTATTTAGCTATCTTTATTTCTTCCTTCCTCCCTCCCTTCCTTTGACTATATATAGGTTTTTAGATAAGCAACGTAAGATGGGAAATAAAAGAAACAGAAAAGCTCCCTGCAAAGTCAATCCATAAAGCTGTGACTTAAAATGGAAAGACAGGGGCTGGTGAGATAGCTGACAAAGTGCCTGCTTTGGCAAGCTCAGGGACCAGTGTTCGATCCCTGGTCTCCCATGCTGCACTGGCCCTGCCTCCTGGGTACACTGAGCCAGTGACAAAGTCCAGGAGTGGTGGCACATGCCTGTAATCACCGTGCTGGAGAGCTGGATCACCACAGTCTGATCTGTGTAGTGAGACTCTGTACCAAATACACAAATGAAAAAACCTTTGGCCCCTGAAAGTAAGGATTTGAGAGCTGAGCAAGGGGACCAAGTATCTGCCATTCTGTGAGAGAACAAATGGTGTCACTCTGAGTACCAAAAGCACAGGTCCATGTTTGGTGGGCTAAGTCTCACCCCAAGGACTTTGGAAGAGCGTGGCCACATGCACCAGACAAGATCCCTGAGTGGGGCTCTGGAGAACATGTTGGGGAGGGGGAGGCAGGGCGGCAGACAACCCATCTTCTGTCTTACTTACTGGTGGAACAGGATGTTGTGCTGTGGGCACATGCCAAGGCTCTGCCGGATTGCATCCAAGTGGGTTTCAATGTCCTTTCCCCCAATGAGTACGGTCCCTGAGGTCGGTGGCAACAGACCTGTCAGGATAGACCTGCCAAGACAGTGTCATGGCAGGAAAGGTAACTTGCATTGGGAGAGCAGTCCCCTAGCAGTATGGGCAGGGACTCTCCCTGGGGACTCCTGCCCTGGCTCTGAATTAAACCCCAGGCCACCACTACTAGCTATAGGGTTCAGGTGTCCCATAGACGACATAGCACCAGTATGTACACTTAGGCCCTCATGCAGAGAAAGGAGGCAGGTATGGTCCTTGCTGCTGCTTGCTTCCCAGTGTTCCCAGGCCAGCACCAATGGCCTCCAGGCTCCTAGCCTCAGTGTTCACGTTCAGCCTCACGCCCGCCCTGCCACCACAGTGCCCAGTGCTAGAGAGGCGCTCATGCATGGCTTTTTCTTTGCCCTCTGGTGTGCAGTCATGGATATTGCAAAGCCATGTGTCACCACTACACATTCTGACTTGGGCCTGGAGAAGAGAGAAGCCGAGTACACCTAGCTATGCAATGCACCCCTCTTGATTCACTGATTGAAGTTAGACATCGAAATCATTACCAGTTGTATCACCTCTGGATTCAAAACATAAAAAGTCTAACAGCAATGTTGCTGTGATTTATAAAATGAGGAAAATAATGACTTATCTGTTTGGGTAGTTGTGAAGATTAAATGTATAAAATTGTGCATTACATTTATTTTACTTTTTTAATCTTTTATTTATTTATTTGATACAGGGTCTTGCTATGCAGCTCAGACTTGTATGATCCTCCTGTATCAGCCTCTCCAGCACTGGGATTACAGGTGTGCACCACCATGCCTGGCTCTGGGGCCCAGGGCTCTGGGGCTAACAGGGCACGCCCGGGGTTCCAGGGCCTGCACAGCATACAGTACCAGGGATTGAATCCCGGTACTGCCTAGCTCCCCAGCCCATAAATTGTATATTGCATTTAGGGAAAGCAAAATTCAGAAATATTACTATCATTATTACTAAACATTATTTCAGTCCCCAGAGAAAGTTGCATTTCTGCAATCAATGAAGTAATGTATTTGCCTCTGAGAAGTCCTGGGGTCCTGGAAGGACCTTCCAGGTCTCTGACCCTATTTGTTAATAGGGAGAAGAATACAATGAATTAACGCCACCACACCCAGCTCTGTCTGAGTTCTGATAAAATCTCAGGCTATCTGAACTTGTACTTAGCAGCTGGGTTCTCTGCTGACCAACCACTAGAGGGAAACAGAACCAAGTATAATGGCCCCAGCCCCACATTCCATTCACACTGAACTGCCTAAGAGCACATTCCTGCGCAGGGTGTAGACTACTTTTCCTTCCTGGGGCTCTGTGAGAAGCCAAGGACTTGAAGACTCTATCACAGAGGTTGCTGTCCCCAGAGGCCTGCACAGGAAAGCTTGGTGGCCACGTTTCCCTCAGCCTTGTTCTCTAACATGGTTGTTGGGCCCCTTAGAGAAGTGAGGGGAGCTCCTGAGTTGAGAGGTTCACTCAGAACCCCACGTCCTTCCTGAACTTGGCCTTCCGTGGCCAGGCTGCCACCACATTGGCCCACGTAGAGACTACATTCTTAGAGCATTCTTTAGAACTAAGACTGCCTCTTGTCAGAAACCCTGTGCTGGGGTAAAACCTGACTGGTAATTGATAGGAAAAGGAAGGCTCTTTTAAAACAAGCAGCACTCTGCAAACCTTGGTGCACGGGCTCAAGATGACCTTGGCTCGGTCACCACCATGGCTGACAGTAATGCAGGAGAGGCTTGGGATGGGGAAAGGACCCACAGGCAATTGTGGAGCGAGAATGGGCTCCTGGGCCCACTCAACCACCAAACCAAGTAGCTTCAGAGAAGTCCTTCAGACTCTTGGAATGTCCAGCTGTTCAATATACAAAGCAACCCTTTGTTGCTTTTGCAAAGATCGAATAAAGCAATATTAGACCATGTTTTGCCACTAAAACAAATGTCTGCCACTACAATTCAGTGGGAAGGTGTAGACTTCGGGTAACAGTGGAGAAATGAGGCTGGGAATGACAGTGGCATGGCAGTCCACAGCCTCTTTCAGAGGACTCACAAGGTGGTGGTTTTTCCTGCTCCGTTGTGACCCAGGAATGCAGTGATCTGGTTCTCATAGAAGGTAATGTTAAGACAGTCCACAGCTGGCCGGCGGGAGGGCTCAAAAATCTTTACCAGATTCTTCACGCATACCCCAGGAATCAAGCCTGGAAGTTCACGTTCAAAGAAGGAGTCTTGGAGGATAAAAAACAAGCATGATATAAATATAAAGCCTTCACGTGCCTGGTTCTCATGGTCTTTTTCTGACCACTGTCATTTGCCTCTAATTTCACCTGCCCCTGTGACTTCAGCAATGAGCTTTGTAAGGTAAACCAGAATAAGAGTGACTGTAATGGTAGTGAGCATTTACTTAGCAATCACTGAGCTGCTCCGTGCTTTCCATAAATTACCTCTTTTCACACAACTGCCCAATGGGCTGGCAGCCACTAAGCTCCTTCCTGTAGGTGAGGAGACTTAAGTCAGGCCGACGCTGTGCCCTATGAAGTTCCCAAAATCGTAAGTAACAGGGCTGGGACTGGAACCCAGAGCCCAAGCTTACCCTAGAGCTCTCACAGAGCAGGACCTAAGCTCCATCTTTGATCCCAAGCTCCTTTTCCAATAGTCTTCAGGATTCCACATAGATTTCTGGTAACAACTCAGGCTCCTCACATGTTCCCTAAAACATTTCTCTTCAGACTCTCCAAACCCATTCCTAGGGCCACCATTCCCTTGTCAACTTGAGCTGAAGTCTTTTGAGTAATTTTGATTACAGCTGACGCTTTGCTTCTCAGAGCTCCAGAACTCTTTCCTCCTGCTCGCACTCTTCCTCCGCCCCCACTCCGCTTTCCCTGTCTGCTCTCTGCTGTTCCCTGACACCCAGGATCTCCTTTTTTTCAGTTCCTCCTGACAGCATTGCAGTTCTAAGCATTTGCTTGCTTGAAAATAAAATTTAAAATTTTTAAATTCCGTTGCTTCTTCGGTGTGTCTCCTGGCTTTGCCAATGGGTGAGATGGAACTAGCTTCCCCTGACCCCCAATTTCAACCTTGTGCTACCATTCTGGGAAGAGATCTTCCAGAAGCATTGTTGCCTGCAATCTGCTCTGTGAGGAGCTGCAGGTCTCTGGCTTCAACTTTGTGAAATGGTGTCTGGTGGGTGTGTGGAGGCTAGACCCTCTCGCAGAGTGTCAGGCAAAGCCAGAGACCCTGCATCTCTCTAACCCATCCATGAGAAATGCATATAATTGGCAATGAAAATCTTTGGACAAAATATGGAACTTACTCAAGAATGAGCATCAAAAGTGAGGGATGCAAGACTGGTGCTGGTCCACCAGTCCAAGAATGATTAGGTAACTTCCACTGTCAGGAAAGGCTTTGATGGTTTGAATGAATGGGCTTCTAGATTTGTAACCACGAGTGAAGTGCAGTCAACGCCTCTCAACTCTCCTTCCCCTTGCACACAGAAGCACTTATTTTTGTCTTTCCTTATAGCTCATATCCGCTTCAAGTCCCAGTGACCCAAGTCATTGTTCTCGCTAAATCCTCGGAAGTCAGCACATTCGTGCAACTCACTTGGGATTTGCCTAACAAGGGCACAAACACACTACATACTTGGGCTTTGCTTTCTCCAGGAAGTATGCGTTAATGTCTGGGCCAGGCCATTCATTCCCACACGTGCAGCTGCACCCAGCTTAACACTGGTCAACAGAGGGAGTCAGCTTCCTGGGCTTCATTCCACCTGGAAGGAGGTGTTTTGTTCTGGCCCTTTGTGGGGCTTAGAGTCTTTCCCTTGCCTCTGTTCTGCTCTGTTTGGGGGCAGGGGTTTACCATTCATTCCTTCTGGGTGTTCTGGGTCCTCCATCTCCTCTGTTATGGGTTCAGTCCTTTCCAGTGCTCTTTCTTCTCTAGTTGAACACCCTGCACCAACCAGAAGCCAATGTGACTCTTTTAGTGAGGGCTGAGAATCAGTCCAGGCCAGGAAGGCGGAGCGAAGTGGGGGAAACAAATGTTTCCCACAGCCAAGGAAAGACAGTTCGTTCAGAAGGTTGTGCCAGCATTCCTGGGAGACTAGTTCCGTGTCCCGTGTCCCCCCTGCTTACCCCCATCCCCCGCCCATGGCCTGCAGCCTCTGGCCTGCTGCTGGGCTGCACTGCTCAAGCCTGATTGTGCAATCTTCCCCAAGCCCAGATTTGTAACTGGTATTTCAGAAGCAGGGAATCTTACCCCATACTGTGGCTTTTGTTTTGGTTTTTTGTTTATTTGTGGTATTTGTGGTGCTAGGGGTGAAACCCAGCGCCTCCCACATGCTAGGCAAGCCCTGTATCACTGAGCTGTATCCTCAGCTCTAGCATGTTCTCCTACAGTGCAAGAACAGGCCCACAGGGTCAGAAATTGTGATTAAAAAACAAACCAAAGATTGAATTTGGAATGGGTTCATTTTCTTTCGCTTACCACCAGTCCTTTTCATCCTGACCTAACCTAAAACGTCAAAATCAGGCTGAACCTTGAGTAAAAGTCTATCCAAGGAGATACGATGAGCAGGCAGCTCATCCGAGCTTTAGAAATGGTTCCCATGGGAAGCTCCTATCTGGAAGTTCAGATATCTTGAGATCAAGAGCAGGGTAGCGCCTGGCAGAGGCACAGGCCTAGACAAATTGTGAAGTGGAAGAGATGTCTGCACATAACTCTTGACCTTTTGTTTGGGGGAGGAGAAGACAAGCAGAAAAGCCAGCAGAGTACAGGAAACTGCTTGGTGGTTAGGGTCATGCAACTCCCAGTCCTTCTATCTCTGCGTCCTGCAGAATTTTCCAATCTATTCCCCACAACTCCTACGGTCACTCTACTAATGTCATACAACCTGAAGGTCAAATAAAATAATAAAGGGACTGCCTTCTGAACAGTCATGGAGCAAGTGTCTCATCAGGGAATGCATTCAAGCTCCAGATTTTGTGCCCAGTGGCCAGAAGGGATCTGAAATGCACCTTGGCCTCCATTTCGTCATCTGTAAAAAAGAGGGGACTAAGTGGAAAAATTCAGTTATTTTCTGATTTAGACAGTATTGAGGATCCTGTTCAATCTCACCTACAAAATAGATTAAAAATAGTTGACTTCTGTCAGCAAAATATATGATTTACTTTTTTTTTTTTCTTTTTGAGGCAGGTTCTTAATATGCTGTTCAAGATGGACTTGAACTCACTACGTAGCCCAGGCTCACCTCAAACTCATGGTGGTTGTCGTGCCTCAGCCTCCAAATACTGGGGATTACAGCTGTGTGCCACCATGTCCAGCTATTATTTACTCTCAAAGGAGCACATTTGTCTTAAGGTGTTTAGAAGTAGAGTAGCTCTTGGGATTGCAGAGAGGGAGAATAAGGCCCCAGGTTCTGATATTTACTGACATTAAAAGTATTCCAGCAGCATACTTCTGAGTTAAAAATTCCCACTTATGATGGGCTTACAGCTCTATTATAGTGAAAATGTAAAGGTTAATAGGTAGAAAAATTGGGGCCAGGGAGATGGCTCAGTGGAATAAGCGCTTCCCTGGCAAGTGCAAGGGCCTGAGTTCAATCCCCAGTTCCACCAAAAAAAAAAAAAAGAAAGAAAAGAAAAGTTGCACAAAACCATGAAAAAATAATGAGCTATTAGAAGCAGTGTTGATTTGCATCATTAAGAGGAAGAAGAGAAGTAGGAGGGAGAAGGAAAAAAAATGATTAAAAAAAAAAGTAAAACAAAACAGAAAACCTACCCAAGCCTTTTAAATTCCCTATTCTAAGGCCCTGGAGAAGACTAGGGTCTATCTCAGTGCTTAAAGGATAAATCTTGGCCCAGGTCCAATAACTCAAAGTAAAGGGAGGGGGGCAGCCTAGATTGGAAGGTATTTCCTTTGCTTCCAGGTCTTCCCAGGTGTAAAAGAGACTCTAGCGACAGCTCTAGAATTTCTCTGCCTTCTAAGAACTCACAAAAGAGTCTGTGCTTTTCCCACTTCTACTCTCCCTAGGCTGCCTGTTTTGCTCAAAGGTAAATTTTATCTATGAGATATCATGGGTAAGTGCCCTTTTAATCTCCTTTTTGGTCACACTAGAGTAGGGCATGCCAAATTCCAGTATGACTGATGTTCTTACGGGAACATGGCCAGGTAAAGACAGACACAGAGAAAATACGGTTGGAAGATACAGGATTAGAGTGATGCAGCTATAGGAAAGAAGAGTAAAAGGAAAGAAGGAAGATGACGAGATAAGAAAGACCGACACCAGAAAAGCCAGTGGTGCCTCCATCTCTGGGTGAGTCTTCATCTTGGGAGAAGGAGTTAATTTATAGTTGGAAAACTGGAGAGAAATCAAAGGCAAAAGAGAGAAGTTACAGTGGAGAAATACAAATCTTCCTTCATGATTTTCTGGTCTGTTTTACACTGCAAAATTAGGAAAGTCATTTGAGTCTAAAGTGGTGTGGCTTTCTTGTAACAGGGCATTCATTCCACTTGGGCAAGCTATTTGTTGATTCTTGGCCATTCACTGTGGCCCAGCAACTGGAGGCTGTGCTGTCAGAGGCTGTGATGATACACCCCACCTGGTGGCCTGGCTGACACAGCTAGCTTATCCAAAAAGATACCCTTGGCATAAAGTGCCACCTTGCGGACCCACACAGCCTGCACATAGCCCAGGGAGCAAGCTTTAAACCTCAAGGTTTTAAAGTTTTTAATAACTCACCTTCACCACCAAGCCAATAAGACTCTTGTAGAAGGAAGTACCAGGGAAGTGGGGTTCCATAATCACCTGAAAAATAATGAAGAGAAATTTAAAGAGAATAGAGAAGGGCCGGCAAGATAGTTCAGCATATTAAGTACCTACTTAGGTAAGAACAGAGACCGGGGTTCAATCCCTGGAACTACATGCTGTGCCAGCCCTGCCCCCAGGCATGCTGAGCCCTGAGACCTGGCGTGGTGGCACATGCCTGTAATCTCAGCGCTGGGGAGGCTAAAAACAGGAAGATCACTACAAGTCAGACCTACATAGTGAGACCCTGTACCAAATACACAAAGAAAGAAAGAAAGAAAGAAAGAGAGAGAGAGAAAGAGAGAGAGAGAGAAAGAAAGAAAGAAAGAAAATAGCCATAGTAATCTCCCCACTGCACTATACCACAGCTCTATAAGACCTAGAATTTATCTGAATTCAAATTTCAGCTACATATATTTGTAGTTCATAAGCTCTTCTACAGTCATCCATGGAGCTGCTGCCAGAAAGACTATTTCTCCTAACATATTTTAATTCAAAGCGTCATTTCTTGGGAAGGGTGTTGTTTCCAGCAATACTGAGACTGATGATGTTGGTTAACATTAATTCTCCAAGAAATTAAATCACATCATTTTTCAGCAGCTACCAGATTACAACAGTGATAATAACTAGCATTTGTGCATGCGTTTGTCGGGCCTTGCTGTAAGCACTTTCAAGGTGCTAAGTAATTTAATCCTCCAATCTTTGGAGATGATAGTAATATTATTCTTGAGTATATGGAAACTGCAGCATGCTGAATTAAATCTACTTCTAGGTCACAGGGAATTAAGTAGAAATGGAGGAATTCTAACAGGCAAACTGATACTCATATTTCCCATAAGCCCTCATTCTTATGGATCCAGTAGGATTTCAAGAAAGAGAATCCCAATTTCCAGTTCAATTCTTTTTGCTATTTTGTTCCTCCTTACCAAATGTTGTTTTTGTAGAACACTATCTACGTGTTGGGAATGTAGCTGTGTCACAGAGCACTTGTCTAGCATGTTCAAGGCTGTGGGTTTGATTCCCAACACATACACAAGCACACAGCACTGTCTTCAATTTTTAAATATTTGTCATGTGCTGTGGCTTTTGCCATCACTGGATGATGTGGAAAGCTCCACAGGGCAGGCCTGCATCTATCTTTTCCACCCCTTGATTCCTAGGACCTGGCCTTGGTGGACCTCACTCATAGGCACAGATCAGTAAATAGTTGTTGACCAAAGAAACAAAAGCTTTAGTTTGCCTAAGTAAAGTCCTTGAATTGTGCACAATTCTAATTTTATTCCAATTAATTTTTACTAAATCTTTGTGCAATAGCACAGGGAGTTACAAAAAGCAGGCTGATGAATTTTAGGTCACTGTCATGTGTTGAATCATGTCCCTTCTCAAAAAGATACGTTGGGGTCAGTGGTTTTATACAAAATATTGTTGGCCTTTTAGTCCCTAATTTGTGTAAGAATTCCAATTTTCTATCACTATGTTATTCATAATGGGCACCATTCTGCCCCCTAAGTTAGTGCTAATGAATGACCTAAGATAAGGCCTCAAGATAGCTTCACCATGGAACTAAAAAGACCAGACAAGGGGAAAAAGGGAATTTTAGCTTTAAACATCAAACTTTGGAGAGGGAAAGAGGACTGAAGATTGAGTTTTAAAAACTCTGGAACAGGACTTGGGGAGTTCTGTGTTGGTGAACATATTTTGCATTGGTGCTGGGAAGATGTTGGGCCCAGGGAGGGTAACACTCCGCATTACCCCTTGCATCTCTCCCAGTAAGCTGTACTTAGAAACAGAACACTAGTAACACATTTACAGCTGGCTTCTGAGTGGAGGGAAATCTTATGGCATTGAAGCTGTGACAACTGCACAAATTCTGGATGGTGTCAACACTGAATGGAATAGCTGCTGTCAGAGAGTTGGTCAGTGCTGGAAATACATATACATTTGGAGTCAGGATATCTCAGAATGTGGCCTTGTTTGGAGATAGTCATTGCAGATATTTTTAACCTGAGTAAGATTACACTACAGCAGGGTATGCCCATATTACAATATGACTATTGTTCTTATAAGAAGATAGCCAAGAAAGACAGATACAATGAAAATGCCACTGGAAGATTTCAGGTCAGAGTGATGCAACTACAAGCCAAAGAAAGATTACTGAAAGACATCCAGAAGCTAGAACAAGGCCAGGAAGAATCCTAGCCCGACAGCTTTCAGAGGGAGCCAGCTATACCAACACCTTGATTTTGGATTCCTGGCCTTCAGGACAGTGAACTATGAATTTCTGCATTTTAAGCTACCCAGTATATGGTACTTTATTATAGCAGTCCTAAGAAAGCAATGTGCCCAGACTGCTAGGATCTGAACCCACGCCTGTGGACCAAGCGCAACTATCTGCCTCCTCTTCAGGGTTGCCACCTACTTATTCCTGAAGTATGGGAGTTTCTCCCTCCCTAGGGACCAGCCCCAGCCTCACTGTTCTTTGCTTGCTCTTGGTCACAGCATCAAGAGCCTGGTCCACACACCTTAGCCCAAGGAGGTGCTTGGTTACCACAGAGACACTCAAAGACACTGTGTCTCTAGCCCTACAAAAGTCACTTTGAAGTAAAATCTGATTTTTTTTTTTTTTTTTTTTTTTTTTTTTTTTTGTGGAACCGGGGATTGAACTCAGGTCCTTGTCCTTGCCAGGCAAGCACTTATTCTACTGAGCCACCTCCCCGGCCCCTAAAATCTGATTTTTAAAAAAGTAAATAGAAAACTATACAAATGGGTAACTGTGATGCAGGAACTGATTTTCCACATTGCAGATTAGGTATTTATTCAGGGCCCATTAAATATCAGGTATTATTCTGGGCATCAGGACTGTCTACAAGACTGTATGCCTGCTTTGTGGACTTGTTTTAACAATGGTAGAGCATCAATAAATATACACATATAAAGATAACTCATGTCAGGTGGTGACACCAAGAGAAGTAGGGAAAGTGGGTGGGGGCACTACACAGAACCTGTTTACATAGTATAGGTGTCTAGATAACTTCAGCCTGGAAAGATCCCTATGACAGCCAGGCACGATGGCACATGCCTGTAATCTAAGCACTCAGGAAGCTGAGGCAGGAGGATCACAATGAGTTTAAGGCCAGCCTGGGCTACATGGTAAGTTTCAAGGTCAGCCTGAAACTCTGTCTCAAAACAGAACAGAGTGGGCCGGCCAGATAGCTCAGTGGACTAAAGCACCTGCTTAGACAAGCTCAGGGACTGGGGTATGATCTCGGGATACTGTTCTGGCCCTGTCCTGGGGGGCATGCTACAACAACAACTGAAACCTGTGCCAGTCCCACCCCCGGGATGCACTGAGATAGTGATTGAGGCTGGGCCTGGTGGCACAGGCCTGTAACCCCAGCACTTGGGAGGCTGAAATCAGGAGGATCATTACAAATCCAATCTGTGTAGTGAGACTTTGTAGACCCTGCACTAAATACATTTAAAAAAAGAAAGAAAGAAAAGAACAGAGCAAAACAAAATAAAAGATCTCTGTGATAAAATAGTTGAACAGAGACCTAAACAAAATAGAAACGCAAGCCAGCAGATTGGAGGGGTGGTGTGGTAGTGTGGAGAGAAACACTCCTGGAAGTGAGAAACACATGCATGGCACACATTGGCCTAGGGAGGGCAATATGACTGGAGCAGAGAGGCACTGGGGAGAAGGGAAGAGCACCTGGGGAAGAATTACTGGAGCCCAGGTAATGAAACATCTGCTAGGCCAGGCATGGGACACTATTTTACTTTCAGTGATAGGAAAAAACTCTGGAGGAAAGCCTCACCAAAAGGAGAAAGGTGATGCAACCTGAGGTGGATTCTGAAAAGAACTATCTGAACATAAAGTAAACAGCAAACTAGAAGGAAGTATGGTGGAGGAAGGAAGCTTGCACTGCACTGGGAGGTGGTAGGAGTGGGGACACAGGATCAGATTTTAGATCAATTTCTAAAGTACAACCTAGACAATTTGTTGGTGGGCTGCTGACTTCTAGGTTTAAATTTCAACATTTGTTCTTTTTTTTTTTTTTTGTGGAACCGGGGATTGAACTCAAGCCTTTGCGCTTGCCAGGCAAGCGCTTATTCTACTGAGCCATCTCCCCGGCCGCTCAACATTTGTTCTAAAAAGCCCAAATTCAAAGAAATTAGAAGGCATGAAATTTAATTAGATGAATGGGGAAGCCTGGGGACCCAAAGAAAGCAAATGCCTTTACTTTGGGAAGGGAGATGCTTACCTGGAAACACCTGGTCAAGGTACCAGGCAAGCAAGCCATACAGAGCTGCATCAAGCAGCATCATCTGCATGGACAACAGGAAGCTGAACTCATCCCCTTCCATGGGGCTGTTCCCGATGTTGCTCCACTGCAGCCCCAGGCCTTGTTCCTCAAAGCGAACCAGGTACTCAGTGCCAAACCCAAAAGCCACAGGAGACAGCAGGCTTTGGGGGGGGGGGGGGAAGAAAGGTATTTTACCACAAATAAATGCAATCAAATATCCTTAGGGCAGGGAGGAAGACTGCAAAGGGCCTACATGTGTCCTAGGGTAAGGCTGCTAGGAGCAGCTAAGGCAGTCTTTCCATAGAAAGAGAATTCTGGGAATGCCTCTCAGGCTTTAGAAACCCTTGGTAGTTGAGTTGTAGAGTAATGAAGAAATGTCACATTGCATAATACACCCAACCCTTTGCTTTTTTCCCTCTTCCCTCTTTTAGAAGATCAAACTGTATTGCACAGAACAAAGACACTAACTGGATCTGCTCTGAAAGAATCCCCTTGGCAGCATCTATAAAATCATCAATTTCCTAGGGCAAGTGAGGGCTAGGCAGGGAATATGAGTGTGACCTCCTGAGGGCTGTCGGAGAGGCTGGAGAGACCTACGCTCTAATGACCTACCTTTCCCATCTCCAGACAGGGAACAATCATTTTCTTAAGTTCTCTGTGCAGAGAACCAGATAATGGACTAGGTGGAGTGCAGAAGGAAGTCTGAAGAGGAAGTTCCCCAGCCAAGCCCCATGGGTGGTCTCTGACATGACAGAGCACACAGCACATACACAGGGATTCGCTATTCCCATTTTGTCTGCTCAGAGGTTTTCCTAGAGTTTGGAAGGCCCTAGACAGGGTTCAGGGTGTATTTCTGTTTAAAAAAAAAAAAAAAAAAAAAAAAAAAATGAAAGAAAGAAAGAAGAAAGGCCTCTCTAGCTATATCAATGACCAAAAAAATCATTTTCACATATCTCAGCTTGCGGGCCAGGGAAATGGCTCAGTAGAATAAGCACTTGCCTGGTTCTAGGAAAAAAAAAAAAAAAAAAAAAAAAAAATCTCAGCCTGCTATTGTCCCCACAGCTGCCAGGCCTACAGCTTCTTGGTAGATCCACATTCCCAAGAAGTTGACTTAGCACTGTCTGATTACAGAGTGATTACCAAAATAGCCCAGCTCTGCCCACAGCTCAGTCATAAGGATTTCTACTTCTACTCATTGTGATCATCTTAGAAAACTGGATGCTATAAATAGCAGCAGTTAACTTCTTACTTAACATGAGAAAATAAAAGGTAGATGCCCTGACTACTCTGGAGCCAAATACAATTTGGGTTGTGAGAACAGGTTGTTCTGCCAATAGAAAGGTAGACTTTTTTTTTTTTTTTTTTGACCACACAGTCATGGGGAGATTTTAGAGAACAAGGAAAACTGTACTCTCTGGGGCTGAGATTGATTACCATGGGCTAAGAAGACGGGTGGAAATTCCCACTTCAAACAATTTTGAAAAAAATATTAGTTTGGGAATCTTGAACTAAGAGGTCTCTCAGGTAATCCAACATCAATTTCTGGAGCCTTCTGGCTACACAACCTGATTCCGTGGGCTCATTTCTATACTTTCTCTGTCTGCTAGAAGAGCAATCTAATTATTTAAATATGAGATAACCAAAAATTGCATTTTCATTAATTTTTATAAGGTAATATAAAAACAACAATTTTATCAAATTTATTCAAAACAAGAATCAACTGATTGAAATGACACCAGCCGGAGCGATGCTCAGGATAGTCAGTATTTAAACAAATGTGCTGACTGAGGGACGGACACTCAGGGTAAAATATTCAAGGCAACTGTAGAATTTCTCAGGTCCTAGTTTGTTAGAAGGGAAAAAATCTTTTAGTTAGTGGAAATGTTTTTCTGGACAGACTGTAAGGGAACAAGCTCTGACCCTTCTCAAACTGTGAGAAAGGAAAGCTGAGTTTCTTGTGGAGAAACAGCAGGGGCCACCAGCCCAACTGGTTTGTTCAGTGACTGCCAGGGCAGATGACCTAAGCAGGTTTAGTGAGGAATAGCTGTTAGGCTGCTCAGGGTGAAGATTGCCTCACTTTTGGCCCTCTACCTTTGAGCCTTGGTTTAACCTTCTGTTCTTTTGAGCCAGAAGGCAAAGGATCTCATCAGAGCTCAGAGAGCTCTCCTCAGAGAGTTCTCCTCAGAGAGCAGCAGCTGTCTGCTACAAACTCTTTGTAGGAGATATATCATAGGCTAGGGTGACTCCAAGTCCCTCACCACAGCTTTCTTCAGCTTGGCTGTCATCTGGTCCTGCCAGGCAAAGCACAGAATGTGTGGCAGGTAGAGGGTGAAGTAGATGACACCGCTGCAGGCTGCTGCCAGGCTGGCCTTGGAGAAGAAGGTGCTGAGCAGGAAGCACTGCATGATCGTGGCAGTGGCGAAAACCAACAGAAACAGGAAGACGATGGAAGGGTCACTGTAATGTAGGATTCTTCCATGCTAGAACCAAAGAGATTGTACATCAGCAATCCCTACCCATACCTTGGAGCACTGTCCCACTCAAGAGGTGACCCACATACAGCGAAGCCAAGACCTCCAGGAGCCATCTGTCCTATTGTTAGTGCCCAAACTTCCACAAAACACATTCAGTGGCATGAATTCCTTTAATCTTACACATGCTGATTTCCCTAGAAGAGGCAACACATTAGGCTGCCTGCCAATCATTAGTAATGTTAAAAAATTAATTGGGAGGCTATTTAGTTGAACTGGCTCCAGTGTCCTGGGTTCATAAGAACACAAAACCTAACTCCTCTAAACAATTTAACCTTTCAGAAATTGCCTATTAATCTCTAAGCAGAGACTTTAAGTTACCAAATATTTTTTCATCTTTGTCTTGCTTCTTTCCCCCACTTAGTGGAACTGTTGTGGTCTATAGCCATCTGATTCATGAATCACTGTCTGCTCAAATAAACTCCTTAAAAATGCAATGTGCCAAGGTTTATCTTTTAATAGTAATGATTATGGGTTAAATAAGCAAATCTGTGGTGGGAACTGAGCCCAGGACAAGGGAAGGTGATCTGAGTGGGGACTTAGAGCACCAGTAGCACACTGGGTGTCCTGAGTAGATGGGACAGAGGGGAGGGGAGAGACAGAGAAGAACAGGCTCCAATCTTTCCCCTGGGGTTTGGCCTGGTCACTGAACCATCTGGACTGGTTTCTGAGTTTTGCCACTTACAAAGGCGAAGATGTTGGTAGTAAATGCAGACAATTGGAAGTGGATTTGTCATCATCCATGAATATGACACAAATGATTGCACATAGTACGTAGTATCTTTCACATTGGCCATGTAGGAAACGGGATCAAACTAGCAATGTTCACATATAGATCATACATGCTCCACACTTTTCTCAGAAACTTAAAAACCTAAATATGGGTTCTGGGAATTCTTGGAATGCCTTTCAGTTTTCAGAAACCCCTGTCCAATACCACTGAGCCACCTCTTGCACGTTCAGTGGAACACAGGCAAGCTGCAGTGCCAGGGGAAGACAATCACCACGTTGCATAACACACTAACAGAACCATGTTCTCCTTCCTATCTTTTCTTTTTCTTCCTCCTTTAGGTATATGGTCAGCTCACTACTGGTGTCTGACCTGTGGTAATGGTTCTTGAAAGCACTGGATTCCTCTGAGGGGAAGAGAGAAACCAGTATCTACCACTAGCATGTGAGAATTGAGTAGAATAAATGTGCCTCTTATCATCAATGGCCAATATTTTTCCTTCATTTTCTCATGCCTGTTGGTCACTGAGAGAACAGATTAAGAAATAGAAAAAAAAATGGAAAGAGGAGGTGAAAGGAAACTATACTTAACTAGAAGCAAAATCTCAGAAAACCTAAATAAAAATAAAAATTAAGACTTATGAGTCCCAATTTTATGTGTCAATCACTGCTCCATATTGCCAAGACTCACTATCCTTGATCCTGTGCAACTCCAGCTAAGCAAGTCCATGGCTGAACATATCATTTTGACTGGCAGAACTTTAGGAAAATGGTTGCTGTTCTCAGCAGAGTGAAATCACTTTCTTACCCTAACCCAATGTGAAGTCCTGCAAACTTAGGGTTGTATACTTTCTCATTATTTTAAGCCAGGAATATAGATTACATGGCCAACCTCACAGTCTCACTGGCCTTGGCTTCTCTCATAATCTTTCTGTTTTTGTTCTTAATGAAAGAATAACAATGGAACCTTCCCATTGTCCCTGCTTCCAGCTTCTTTCCTGCATAGTTGAGTAGGGGAGGAAGGGACAAGTGAAAGATGGGAGCCTTTCAAAGGAAAGCCCTATTTTTGTATGGAAAGCTTTGTTTCCGTCTTCACTAAAACAATATTCTGGTTCCCACAAGGAGAAATCTCTTTGTGCTACAAAGTCTTGGTGAATATATTTACCTCATATCCTACAAGCTTTGAAGCCCATTTTTAGGAAGGCGAAGCTCACTGTCACTTATTAGAAACAAGTCAGGCAAAACCTCATGGCCATTCAGTCAGATTCACTCATAGATTCCTTTAATTCTGAAGACACGAAAGGTTGTCAGAGTAGAAGGACAGTGAGTGAATAACAAGAAGTTCAGCTTCTCCCCTTATCTCTGTACAGCACTGAGTCTTGGCAAAAGCAAAGTTGTATTAGATAGGGTGAGGTCATTTGAGCAGAATGACCTCTATTTCTTCACTGGTTTTGATCAAATTCTTGCACAAGGTTTTGGCAAATGCCACAGCACATTGGATTACAATGCAATATTAAACAAAACTAAGATTTAGGAATTGTACTGTGAAGAGAAAGGGCAGGTTTTGGTTTAAATGCATGTGTATTAGTTGGATAAGATATATGAAGGAACATTTCTGAATCAGGTGGGCACCCTAGGTGTGGTCTTGGGTATACTGCCAATTATAGAGGGGTGCTCAGTATGATGATAAGAGCAGAACAAACCTGTCGAGCTTATATGAGGAGCTTAGAGAGCCTGAAGTGTGAAAATTACACCAGATTCCATCCAAAAAAAATCAAAACTATCAAATTTATGTGCTTATTAATCAAGTACAAAGGATCATCTTCTGTGGAAGAACTAAAAATGAAGACGAGCACTGTATTGTGAAATGATGTTTTGTTTTGTTTGTCTCTTTCTGATAGGGTCTCACTATGAAGTTTAGGCTGGACTTAAGCTCACTTTGTAGCCCAGGCTGGTCTCAAATTTGCAATGATCCTCCTGCCCCAGCCTCCTGAGTGCTGGGATTACAGACATGTGCCACCACACCCATCTTGAAATGATGTTTTATTTCTAACTCTGGCTTGAAGGGCTTTGCGAGTTTGCAGAGGATGGACCAGTGCAGTCAGACTATAAAAAACTCCTCATCACTGATGAATTCCAAATTCCATTCTTTAAAACTGATAAGTCTTGGTGAAGCCATGAATAGTCTGGCCATGATGATGATTAATGAACAGCTGAGATCCCATCCTATGACTACTGTGAAAGGGCTGTCCACATTCCAGGCAGTCAGTTGTTTGAATGGTGATCCCAGAAAACACTCCTTGACCTCATTTCTGTATTTGGAAAGAGAGGGGCCCTTTGAATGCACCATCACCCTGTGCTGAGCTCTGTTAATATCAGTATCTCCAGATGGCCAGGGACTGGGCCCGGAAAGTCTAAATATGCTATGGATCACTAGGCAGGAAGTGGGAGATACAGGACATTATGATCCAGAGGCTCTTCAGGGGATACTGTGTCTCTCTAGTGTTTTCTACCAAGGTTGAAAGGACTGGGAAGCTGAGTGTCATTCTTTACTTGGTTGTCAGATGGCTAATCCAGGGACAAGTATATTAACAGAAGGAAAGGCGGGGGGGGGACCCCACTGAAACATTTCTGGGGCTTCTCCCTTTGCCTTACCATGATGAATAGTGTCAGGAGAAAGATGCTCATTGACATGATAGAGAAGCTGTCCAGGAACCAGGTGCACCAAATCACTGCATTGGAGACACCCTGATTTTTCAAGGTCTCCTTTAGCCTCAACTCCTTTTCCAAGACAATGTCCTTCACAGTCATGGAGACAGAGTATATCCACGCCAGCACCATGAAGATAGGGAAACAGCGGTTCAGGATGATCATAAAACTAAGGCAAGAGGAGAGAAACAGAATAGTAGCATTCCCTGTAGATATAGAGCAACAAAGTTCAGGTGGAGGGAAAGGAAAATGTTAAAATCTCCACTGACCACTCCAATGCGATGGAATAATTTAATGTATTTCAAATTTCCCTGAAGCTTATTTTTTCTTCAGAGTAAGACAGTGGCTTTATGAATAGTGCAGATGAGTGCTCTATAAATAAAATGTATACATAAAGTCATGCTACCTGTGTCACATAGTGTAGCTCTTCCCTGTAGGGCCACGTAGAGAAAGATTGAAGACTTGACAGAGCAGGGTATGATTGGTACAGAGAGGTCCATGCTCACTGGCATGGAAGCCTGCAAGGTGGAGTGCAAACAAAAGGAACTGGTAATGAAGAGATTGATAACTGGTACACCCCACCCCAGGAGGCCAACCATCTCAGTATTGTCTGCCCTGTAAGATTACATTCTAGTTATGTGAGGTGAAGGGCAAGATAACTAATCAGTGTGGCACTTTCAGCAGGCAGCTGGTCAGTCAATAAGTCAGTGATTCAGTAGTCCCTGACTCACCAACCATCACAGGTGGAGTTCATCCTTCTGCATACACTCCAGCAGGTTGGTTAAATTGAACAAACCAGAATTATTTTATGGTGAACTTTGTACATTCTCCCTGTGTGAGATGCACTTGTAAAGCTCTTGGGCTTATTATCTAGTGGCAAGTGTGGGGTGCTGTCACAGGTTTCACTCCAAATGACTGCAGGGAGAGAACCTGTCATAAGTCAGGCACTTCTGGAGCCAGCCACCAGGGGACTCTCCCACCCTGGATGACTCGAGTCCCTACTGCCTCATCACACCCCCACTTCCTGGTCAGCCATTCTCACTGTGGTCCCAGAGTGGGCCTGCCTCTGCCTCCAAGTGCAGAACACCCACTGTTATCACTCTAATCCTCCATAGAGTCAAGGCTGGAGAATTGATTGGCCTAGAGAGTTGAGAGAAGTTTTCTGTGTCTATACTGGGCTTTATTGTATAGTCTCTCCAACTGACAATGTAACTCTTCCTTTCTTCAGACTGGGCATGTTTTCCTCTTTCCTGAGCCCTTTCAACATACAGGTACACTCTGGTGAACCTCCCAGACCTCACCTCCCCAACCCCAGGAGTTAAATTCATAAGCCACCTATAGGTCTCTATCATTGTCCTGGGAGTGTTTCTAATTCCATCTGCCCCAGCTGAAATGAGCCCATCCAGCACCTTTCCCTCTTTGTTCGTCTTTGTACCAATGCTCAAATCTGTTTTTAACAAAGCAGTAGGCTACTTCCTTGGCAGGCTACTAGCTGAGGGATGGACAGGCGCAGGAATGGGGTTGGATGCGGAGGAAGGGCTAAGCTCATCCAACACATTCCTCCACCTTTTCATCAAGCATACATCATGGGAATGTTAATTAGGGAATGAGCTGCATTATTCTGAGGCTCCTAGAAACCAGACTTACTTGCCATGCAAAATCCAAATCTGCTGATTTGGCAATCATTGGGCAAACACTTGGACCGGAACCCTTCCACATACCAAACATATTAGATAGTGGGAAATTTAAAAAACCTTTGTCTCCTCCCCCAAGTTTACTTCCTGTGCTTTAATTTTCACCTTCCCTTTTGCACCTCCAACACTAAATCTTTCTTCAGTTTCTCCTGCCTCCATCTGAAGCAGAGTTCCATTCTCCCTAGCCTGGCCCTGGACCCTGGAGTTCTTTCTGCAGTTAACACAGCCCTGGGAATGCCCAATCTCAAGCACCCATGACTTGTCAAAGAGGAGGATGTAGTCCTGGGACTCACGAGTCATCCACAAAGCAGGGGTAGGGCATCTGCTGAAGATAGATTCCAATTGGAGTTTCTACCCCAGCCTGACTCCTTGTGATCCCCTGCTCAATCATGTCCTGCAGATAGGCAAAGCCACCCCAGATGTACCGGAGATCTTCCACGGGGTCTGCCCTGGGACCAGAATCCCAGTACCTAAGAAGACACAAGGTAGGAAAGACAAATAGAAATTGTCATAGAAATAGACTGTGAATAGAAATGGGCAGCTCACCCAAGTGACAAACTCAAGGTGACTTGGAATACATTCTCTTTAAATCTTTTTCCTAAAGTTTCCTACCTGTGCAATTTTGACTTCTAGACTATGAGCCATGCTATGATTCTTTTTGCTCTTATTTAAGGACTCTATTGTGAGCTGCACAAAATATCTTATTTCCTCTTATTTAGCTTAATTTTACAATCCCTTATTGAATACCAAATGTAATTCTCACAGACTTCAGAAAACCCAGCGAGTTCTGCCTGAAACATCACCTGTCCTTGATTTTATTGGTTTTCTCCACCACATCTATGTCCATCCGGATCTTGTACTCCACATGCGGTGGGAGGGAGCTGGTCCAAGGATACATGTCAGGGAATACCACACCAGCCCAGAACCTGTTTTCCTCCAGCAGAGACAGAGCTCGTTGGGTGAGCTGATTTTCATCATCATAGCTTTCAAACTTATCCAGCACCAGACACTGCAGACAATCACAAGGGTGGAGAGAGGTTGATGAGCACCAACCGTAGAGATTCCATGATATGCAAAAAAGCAGAGGATCAGTGATTGTCCCAGGGGATGGGTCAAACCCAAGGAGACCTAGAAATTTCATGTTTGCATAACTCCAGGGTCTGGCGTTAATTTCTCAATGAGCCTAGTTGTGCAGGGCACTTGGAAATGCTGAGTTGAGCTTCTGTCTGCCAAGTTAGAGGGTACGGTACTGCCCAGCTGTCCACAGCTGTCCAAATACACAAGTCCTCAAAATGACAAAAACATTCACAGCCCTCACTCCCTACACAGAGACATGAGGGAGTGGGGTCATGGTGGACACAGGCTGCTTTGAAGATCAGAAAAAGCTGACAATAAAAGAGAGTTAAGGAGGGAAACACTCCTAGTGCTGAAACTTTCTGTTCTCTCTGAACATACTAGCTGGCCAGCAGAGGGAAGAACAGAAAAGAAAGACAAAAACAGGGTGCCAAAATAATTCCATCTGAGAAATTATTTCCAGTAACAAGGTTATGACAAGAAATGCCAACAGAGGAGAAGAAATTTCCATATTAAGTCTCCTTTTTCCTCCTAAAAAAAAAAATTACCTCAAATGCACAAAACTAAGAATCGCTTTTAATTTAAATATGAGGTAGCATGCTTATATAGACTTGTTTAAGCCTTTATTTATATTGTACTGGCATTTGAGTTTTTCTTCTACAATTATTCCTGTATACATCAGGGACATCTATGTCCATGCTCCTTAGAGTGTAACTCCTCAGGAAGGTCAGATGGCCTTGTCTTGATTAATTTGCTCAATGAATACTTAATGAGAGTGTGCAGTGTGCCAGAGCCTGCCTGGCTCCAGTAATACAGGGAAGAAAGACAAAGTGTCTCCCTGAAAGAAACTCAATCTTAATGAAGGAGAGGTTGGCGTGAATCAGCAATCACAGCAGATATGACAGGTCCAGTTGAAATCAATCTCAGCAGACCCAGGGAAAACTTGGATCAATTAAGTCTATGGGAAGAATCCTGAAAGATTGCCTGGAGGAAGAAAGTCCTAAGTGGGAGGAAGATGAGCCAAAGGAATGGGGGTGTTAGGTCAAGCACAAGGAACCACGTTTAGGGTGTCTTGGGAGCTATGAGAGTCAAGCAGGGCTTTCCGTCCTCTGCTGTACTTTGCATACTAGGGAGCTTTAAAGAAATGCCTATGCCAGCTTCTACACCAACAGTTAAATCAAAGCCTCTACTAGGAGGTCTGGATAAACCCAGACAACAATAGGGTTGGGGCCACTGTAGGGGTCTAAGTAGAAGTATACTGCCTAGAAGCACATCATGTCTCCAACAGACCCTGCTTGGGGCAAGGATGTAAGTGGTAAGACTAGGTCTGAAGGCTATTGAGGCAACACAGGCTTGAAGGAACCAATGGACTCCCTGGGGCTCAGTTGGATGCTCACGTAACTGGAGAGGAGACAAGTGCTGGAGGGGATCCACCTGAGGTGATGCGGAGAGAAGGTGGCAGACCCTGAATTCCTCTGCAATTTGCAGCTCTAGCTGAGCTTGTTTGGAGGTCTCCAGAACTGCAGGAAGAAGAATCCAGTCTGCGGCTGGGATCCTGTGGCTCGAGGGGTCGTGTGTGTGTGTGCTTACTGTGTCTCGTTACAGTAGGTAGAGTGTTTAGTGTTTCCTTGCTTTGTAGCCCAGGAAACTTAGGCTCTGCAAGGCTGAACAACTTTCCCAAGGCGGTAGACTAGGTATCAAACTCCAGTTCGTTGGATTTTACAACTGCTACCAGTGGAAATGAAGAAACAACAAATGTGAAGACCTACCCAGAAAACCAAGCTCTGGCTACACTGTCATGAAGCAGAAAACCCAACTCATTCATGGAGAACCACTCACTTCCTAGGGTCACCACAGGGCACCAGAGCATGACACAGAAACTTCTCATTACTGAGTAGCTTTGTCTGAACACCGAGTGTTGCAAGCCCAGCCTCCTTGGGTCTCCTGAATGAAAGAGGCTCGGAGCAGTTCTGATGTAACAACCCTAGTATCCTAGAGAAAAAGAAAGAAACTGCTTTTTCTGCTGATGTGGGCAGGGAGAGCGTAGGTCTCCCTTGGATGGGGACTCAGAGAACATGAGCCGGGACTCAGAAAACATGAGACAGGACTTCAGAAGTTAATAATTGTAAAATGCCTGCAAAGAAATACCAATAAATGCACTTATGCACTACAGAGCGAAAAAAAAAAAAATTAAGGGCTCTTTCTTTCCTTTTTTTTTTTTTTTTTTCTTCTTTTTGTAGCAGTTTTCTTGAAATCAGGCCTTTATTTATTGTCCAGCCTAACACTGGGCATTCCTCAAATGGCATGAAGGGCCTACATACAGCACACACCAAAGGTTCTCAGTAAATGTACATTTCTTCTCAAAAGAAATGATGCAGTTTCCAGTTTTGTGTGTTTGTGGGGGCCCGGCTGTGTGAGCATGAAAGTGACACCTTCGCAGCGGGGACAGGGCTTGACGCTGTTGGGCGAGGAGGCTTCAGATTGAACTTCTCAAGCCCACGAACAATACACACATGCAAGAGCTTCAGGAGACCTCAGCGGTCTGAGAAGGTAAGAAACAGGATAGCCTCATCTCACCAGTTGGTCAAGTTCAGAGTGCACATGTAGTTAAGTGAAATAAGCTGGACACAGGAAGACAAGCAGCACACCTTCTCATTTATGAAGAGTAACAAATCAGTCTTACAGAATAATCAAATGGAACAATGGCTCCTAGAGACCAGGATGGCTGGAGGAAGGTGGAATGGAAAGAAGTCCAATAAAGTACACCGAAAGGAGTGGAGGAAAAGTACATGAGAGGAGTAGAGGAATTAATGCTTTTTTTTTTTTTTTTTTTTACAGCACAGTAGGATAACTACTGGTTAAAACAATATGACATATTTAAAAATGACTAAGAAGAAAAGTGTGAAGTTCCCAACATATAGAAATGATTAATGACTGAAGAACTGGAAATGATTAGTACCCTGATTTGATTATTATATTATGTACATGATTTCAATTATTCTAAAGATGTACATTTCTTAAAATGTATGTAGTGCAGGGTCTACAGAGTCTCACTACACAGATCGCACTCATAGTGATCCTCGTGTTTTCAGCCTCCCAAGTGCTGGGATTACAGGTGCATGCTACCACGCCCAGTTTCAATCAACATCTCAGTGTGCCCCTGAGGCGGGGCCAGCCCGGCATGCTGCAGACTGAACACCTGTCCCTGCTTCTGCCTGAGCAGGCACTTTAGTCTGTTGAGCTATCTGGCTGGCCCAAGATGTACAAATATTATGTCTCAATTTTTAAAGATAATTTCAGATAGAGTATTTGCAATTAGAGTCAATCTCCAGTTTCTAAAATGAAAACATCATCTTGGGAAATGAAATTCTATCCACTGCACAATTTGACACACACATAGAACATTCTCTCAGTTCCCTCAGTTTCCCAAGGCCCGAGGACAGCTTGAGGTCCCTTGAGTCTGGTCTGCCCTCTTTGCTGTATTGGCGAATGAACTGGACCAGAGGAGCAAAGGGCCTTGCCCAAGAGCAGCACAGGTCGAAAGCAGAATCGGCATCCTTGTCCTCAGCCCCAAGGCTGCAGGGAGTGCTGACCCCCTCAGTCCTTTGCAAGTAAGCCACGGCCCACACTTCCATCAGGACACAACATGCCTGAACAGCAAGCTTTCCTGCCCTACTGCAGTATGGTCTGGCAGAACTTTCTAGACAACAGAATTGTTCTGTATCGGCCCTGTCTGATATGGCAGCCAGTAACCCCTTGAGCATTTGAAATGCGCCTAATGCATCTAAAGCATAAAATTATTAATTTTATTTATTTAGTACAGGGTCTACAAAGTCTTGCTAAGTAGATCAAACTCATAGTGATCCTCTTGTTTTCAGCCTCCCAAGTGCTGGGATTACAGGCCTGCGCCCCCAGGCCCAGTCTCAATGTCTCAGTGTGCCCTGGGGGTGGGGCCAGCACCCCATGCTGGGGATCAAAGCCCAGTCCCTGCATCTGCCTACGCAGGCGCTTTAATTCCACTGAGCTATCTGGTCGGCCCATTAATTTTAATCAAATGAAATTTAAATCGCCACAGGCACTGCTGTATTGGCCAGCACAGCTCTAGAGATACTTCCTTAAGATCAGGGCTTATCTTTCTCATTGCAGTCCCTGGAATAGTACTTTCTCATGAGAGGGACTCATAAGTGGTTACTTATTGTTGCAGTGTTGGTCACTGCAACAAGCACAATTTTACTATTCTAGCTTTGAATGTGATAGACTAGCAGAAATTTGTAAAGTGAATTTCTGCTGTGATAATGTGTGTATGACTAGTGAAATGAAACATCTGATATTTAATAATTGACTTTCAAAGCTTATAGTCTCTTTTCGTTGAACTCTAATGTTGTAGTGGGAAATCGATACTGCAACAAGCTGCTGCTGTTTTCCGTGACATTCTCAACTCCCGCGATGACATAGGCTCTATCCTGGCTGGTTTAGGGCAGCTGACTCAGAGTTATACTTCCTGATATGTTCCACTTGATGGATACTCTCCAGAATACAAAAAACATAGGAGACATCCACTTCTTAAACGGTGTGATTCGTGCATGCATGTCTACCCTCGAACACCTGACCTATTTTCATCTTCTTCAGCTTGCAGATTGGTGTGGTGCAGTGTCTGCTAGCCAGGCTGACCTGGAAGACTTTTGTCATTGTCTGACTGTGTCTCCTGCTTCCCTAGGCAACTTCGGAGGTTTGTCCAGAGGGCTAAAGGCACTATTTATGAAGGGATCAACAAATGCCTCACTGTAAAAACAAAAAGCTGAGGCTGGGCTGGGAGTGTGACTAGATAGTAGAGTACTGGCCAGAAGAAAGAAAAAGAAAGTCAGTGCTAGGGGCTGGGGAGGTAGCTCAGTGATCTAAGTGCCTGCCTAGCAAGCACAAGGACCCAGGCTCGAT